GGACTCCTTGGCCTCAGATGCTACAAGGAGAGATGGGCCTCAGGCCCAACTCGGGAAGGAGCGGATCCGTGAATGGCAGCAGTCCGAGAAGCGCCTTACGTATCTCAACACTTTTTTGCAGGGAATACCGAACATCCATAAGGAGATCAAAACCGGGATATTTACGATTGTCGGTGACTTCGCCAAGTTCCGGCGTCATGAAGAGGAACAGATACCAACGATGCTAACACTGCAGAAGCCGCTGACATACGGACTCCGAAACAACGGTGAAAGACTCCGAAGTGGAAGAGGTCGAACGTGATATCAAGAAAGGCATACGGCGGAGGCGTAGCCTGAAGAGCTCACCAGGGACCGAGACCCGAGACCTGAAGAAGCCGAAGCAGCAGAATTTGGTTCCCAAGTAGCCTGCCAAAACACCGGACTGGGTGGAAATGAAGGGCAAGAGAGGGAAGTACCTGCCCATGCAAAAACCCCGCCAAGAATCAGACCAGAAGAAGAAGGTGCAGAGGAAGCCAGACATTAGACCTGATGCGCTGATTATCCGACCGAAGGACAAACTTAAGTATTCGGATATTCTTACTCGAGTCAAACCAGACATCCCGATAGACCAAGCCCGTGCATGCGTTGACAAGATCCGCAGAACGATTACCAGGGATATGCTCATCACAATGAGTAGGAAGTTCACTGGTGGAGCCTCTCAGCTACACAAAACCATCGCCGACCTCCTTGGGGACGAGGCTGAGGTGCTCAGTAAAGGGCTACATGCAGATCTTGAGATTAATGACCTCGACGAGACTATGACAAAGGTGGATGTTCTTGTAGCTCTGAGAGGAGCTGCTAGAGAAGAACACAAAATTAGTGCAGACACCATCAAGTCCGTGTGTAAGGCTTATGGAGGAACCCAGACTGCCTCAGTGATACTTGCGGAAGTCACAGCGAAAAAGATCCTGGGAGAGCACGGTAAGATCGAGGTAGGCTGAGTCAACTGCCGTATCAGGAGGGTGGTGAGACCGATAAAATGTTTCAAGTGCTGGCACTTCATTCATCTTGCCACTAAGTGCAGAAGCACAGTCCATCGATCGAATCTCTGCGTGAAGTGTGCAGAGGAGGGTCACAAAGCCAAGGACTGTAAGAAAAATTCACGACGTGCCCTGTGCAGCGAGAACGAACATTCGGAGAATGATGCCTACATTGCTGGCAGAAGTAGACGCCCAGCATATAAGGGGGCACTCCAGAAGCTCACTGGCAAACAGCGGAAATAAACGAGTGAACGGCAAGGTTCTGCAGCTCAACCTAAACCTCTGCAGGGACGCACACGATCTGCTCATGCAAACGGTGCGGGAGCTGAAGACTGATTGTCATGATCTCGGAGCCATATCGATATCTTGGAGCCCAATCCTGGATTACTGTCGCCAGGAAGAAAGCTGAAATCTGGGCTTGTAGGAATCGGCCATTTCAGAGCATTAGCAGTGGCAGTATGGAAAATGGCTTTGTAACGGGTAGGGTTGACGGCACTTATTTCTACTGTTGCTACGCCCCACCGATCCTTTCCATCGACAAATTCACCGACTTCCTACACTACAAAAAGTCCCTACTGAAAACCTTACTGAAATTCAGTATTCAGAGGGGAAGTAGGGTGAGGAGTCTTAAATTAAGATAGATATCGTATCTGAATCAATGTATCTTACGGAAATTAAGTATTGTCGCGAGGGGTAAGGTAGCTATGATGTCTTAAATAATAAGATCGATAATTTAAGATATGAAAGGGATCTGAATTTCAGATAGTCGAGGTGGTTTCAGTTACATAGGGTCTAAGACCCATTGGGAATATAAGATATGTGCATCAATTCAATAGTAAAGTTTGAGACACTTTAGAAGTCTTAATAAACAATGTATTCACTAATCAATAAATGGATAAATTAATTGACTAATGCATTGATTTAAGGGTGGGGAGGGTGCGGGGGTAATACTCTATTTTTGATGGAAAAATAAGTGGGGGTTTTTTTTGTTAGGGAGAAGATGCAGAGGGAAGGGGGGTTAATGTTAATGCAAAATGTAAGTTATGAGGATAATAATAATAAAAATAATAATAATAAAAATGTTTTTTTTCAAGTTATCCGTTGATTTTATTCAGGGGGGGGGGGCTTTTACAATGGGGGGGTCAACCCGAATGCAAATCCAAGTTATGGGAATAATAATAATAATAATAATAATAATAATTTTTTTTTTAATAGTTATCCGTTGGGTTTATTCAGGGGGGGGGGACTTTTACAATGGGGGGGGGTCAACCCTAACGCAAATCCAAGTTATGGGAATAATAATAATAATAATAATAATAATAATAATAATAATAATAATGTTTTTTTTTTAATAGTTATCCGTTGGGTTTATTCAGGGTGGGGAGTGACTTTTACAATGGGGGGATCAACCCGAATGCAAATCCAAGTTATGGGAATAATAATAATAATAATAATAATAATAATATGAATTTTTTTTTTAATAGTCATCCGTTGGGTTTAATTAGGGGAGGGGGGTGTTGACTTTTACAATATGGGAATCAACCCTAATCCAAGTTATGGGAATAATAATAGTAATAATAATAATAATAATAATAATAATAATGTTTTTTTTTAATAGTTATCCGTTGGGTTTATTCAGGGGGGTGGTGATTTTTACAATGGGGGGGTCAACCCTAATGCAAATCCAAGTTACGATAATAATAATAATAATAATAATAATAATGATTTTTTTTTCTTTTTTTTAAATACATCCAATGGGGTTTTCTAGGGTGGGTGACGATGAGGGGGGACGTTCTGCCCTAATAGAAATTCAAGTTATTGATTTTTTTTTTCCAATCGAACGATGATTTTTACGGTGGGGTGAAGAGGTTTAAACCCTAATATAAACATAAATTATTGGAATCAATGTTATTGTACCAAAAAGTTGATTGGGGTTTTTCAGAATGGATAACGATTGAGGAGAGGAGATTCAACACTATAATATAAATAATATAAATATGAGTTTCTTCGCCTTTTTTTTCAAGAAATTTCATGCGAGTTATTCAGGATGGGTAAAGGTGAGAAGAGAGGTTAAATACTAATATAAATATCAGTTCTTGGAATTTACCTTTCGGAATTTACCTTACAGTAATTTGGTGCCGATTTTCAGAGGTGAAGGGGTGAAACTCACCCGCATGAGAGAGTGGGGTGAAGTAGAACGCGGGGCAAAATGAGACGATAGTGAATGTCGTTTTTCAAATACTGCTGGACCATTTCTACGGCCTTAAGAGTTAAACGATCCTTAAGAATGTTTGGAATTGAGGGTCAAACGACGCTCACAGACGATCACGGTGAAGGGTCAAATCGTCTTGTGGGGTGGATGATCGTCAAGGATATTTGAAATTGAGAGTCAAATGGTCTACAGGGTCAATCGACACACAAGGACTTGTAGGGTTAAGGCTCAAATAGGGTCTTCAAAATCTCCGTTAAAAAAATTTCGTCAAAAAAACTCGAAAATAAAAAAACCTGGTTTAATTGAACCTCAAAAAACTTGAAAAAACTTAAGGGATAACATGCAAAAAAACACAAAAATAGAGCATTAATGAAAAATAGAGCATTAATGACCATTAATGACACAAAATAGAGCATTAATGACACAAAATAGAGCATTGATGAGTATTAATGACACAAAAATAGAGCTTTAGTGACGCAAACTTCTCAAAACTTGAGGGAAAAAATGCAAAAAAACACAAAAATAGAGCATTAATGACACTGTAGAATCCCAAACACAAACTTGACCCATATTCTTACAACAGACAAGATAAACGGAAGGTTTTATTGACAGAAGTTCAATTTGACAAGAGTTTAATTCACCAAAAGTTCACTTTCCCAAAGTTTATTTAACCAAGTTTTTTTGACGAAGTTTTTTAACGAAGTTTTTCAGACGTGCTCCGGTCAAATGGTATTGAGAGTTTAACTGGTTAGAATGGATAAATAATAATAATGGATAAATAAATAATTGTTGTTCCTGGTGTTCCATTCTACTCCCGTCCTCCCTAACAAAAAGAAAATGAAGTAATGCAATAGGAAAATCTGTCGGAAAATTACTCAATTAGTTTCAGATAAATATCGTTGAATATAATGGAGATGGCAAAATTTTCATAGGACCTTTTTTGTAGTCCTTAAAATTCGCAATGAAACAACAGGTCTTCAACAAAATTTCCCTATCGCCGTTAGCCTCCAAGATATTCTTAAAAGAGTAAATCGAAGAGTGATCCGTCGATGAGTTTCTGCTGAACATCTCGTAATCAATGAAGATAGCGAAATTCACATAACAATCTTGTTTGAAACGCAACCCAATCTCTCCAAGACCAAGGTCGACAAGCTCGGCCAATTACGAAAATCATCGGTGTTTTCCGGGTCAACGCTCAGGTCTAGTAGAGTCACCGTAAATCAACGCGAGTCAGTATAAAACGATCAGCCAAGCAGTCAGTTTTTGATTAGATTTCAACTCCGTATTTGAGTAACGCGCAGAGTGTAGACATTCAGTACATTAACGTCTATTAGCTCGGCGATAAAAACTCATTAAAAAGAAAATCACGTCATTTATTAGCCATTTAAGCAGTGACTCAACAGTGTAAAACCTATAAACAATTAAAACAAATTCAGTACGATCAACTAGTGACAAGGTGTTTTGTAAATTTGACAAAGCGTGGTTTGAACGCGAGAATAAATTAACGTTCATATTAGGTCAAGACTCTCAACAGTTATTTCACACTGACGATCCTCTAACCTCCCAATCCACCCTAAACTTAGTTCCTCACCAAACATTGGTCCTTCGAGCCGGATTTGGGAGTAATTAGTGTGATCGGATTCGGGTGAATTTAAAAAGACGCCTCGTGTAACGAACTTTCGGGGTCTACACGAGTCGGTCAACGGACAGAATCTCAACGGACAAAGAGTAGTTGTGCTATTGTTTCCTCNACGAACTTGATTGAACAGATGATTGCCCACCTGCTGAGGAGATCATTACATGCAGAAACCCTTAAGCAGTGGGAATTGAAACTGGGAGATTCCAGAGACTTTCCCAGTCTGAAGGAATTCGTCGGATTCGTCGAAGCCTGCGGCAGAGGAATCAACGCAGGATCAGAGCTTCATGCAACACAGGAAACCAACATCGCCGACAGGAAATCACTGAAGAAGAAGAAGAGCTCTTACGCAGCAGCTACTCAACAAGACAGCAACGCTGAGAGGCTTCTTCCGAGAAACTGTTGTGCCATGTGTAAGGAAAAACACTTCATTGCTGAGTGCCAGAAATTCAGAGAGTTGCCCCCAGTAAAGAGGGACAGCGTAGTCATAAGCAATGGCCTCTGCTTCAGCTGTCTGGGACCTCACCGAAAGACGAAGTGTTTCTCAACGAAAAGATGTCAACAATGTCAGGGCAATCACCACACTTTAATTCATGGAGGAAGCGAGTACACCAACGCTCCACCAAGAACTCGACGTGACTTGGAATCAACAGATGTCCCTGCATCAGCAAGAGTCGAGCCAGGGCAGAGTACAGATAAGATCACGAGTGAGTGAACGAATTATAGCATAATCAACAAAATAACCTCCTCATTGGTCATTCTCAACAGCTCAACCCAGTACATCAACGGCAACAGTCAACCTCAACAACCAGCGGACCAGTGAGAATGCAGAAACAACTCAACAAGAAGCAGATCAACAATCAGTGCTGTTAGCAACAGCGCAAGTCAAAGTAAAATCCCCAAAAGGATTCATCAGCAGAGCCAGAGTACTAATTGATCAAGGATCAGAGGTGTCATTTATCTCTGAGAAATTAGTACATCAACTGCACCTCACAAGAACAACAGAAACGTTGGAATTAATAGGAATTGGCGGAGTCAATTCAGGCCACACAAGAGGAAGGGTGTCAGTGACGCTACAAGCAATCAACGGGCCCCAGCAAGTAAAACTCAACGCCCACGTCTTGAAGAAACTCACAGCAATCCTGCCATCATTTTCCTGTGAATCAGTCGATATCGGCTCACTAGAAAACCTTCAACTAGCTGATCAACAGTATCTCCAGCCTGGACCAATAGATATAATAATAGGGGATGACAACTACGGGCAGATAATTAAAGATGAAGTTGTCAAATCTAAACAGTCAAGATTAGATGGCCAACGAACAGCATTTGGTTGGATATTATCAGGTCCAATCAACTGCTCCGGTCGCTCAACGAGGGTCTCCTTATCAGCTGTACGGGAATCTTCAAATGAACGACTACTAGAGCTTCTACAAAGGTTTTGGGTCCAGGAAGAATTACCAGTCCAACGTTCAGACAACTCAGAGCTATCACAAGACGAGCTGGAGTGTGAAAAACACTTCAGATCAACACACAGCAGAGATTCAACAGGGCGTTACATTGTGAGGCTCCCATTGAAAACGTCAGCAGAAGCGCTCGGGGAGTCAAAGTTCAAGGCTTCACGACAGCTCAAATCAACAGTCAGCAAACTCAACAACAATCAGGAATATGCCCAGCTCTACAAGGAGTTTATCAACGAGTACGAGGCTTTGGGACATATGCAGAGAGCACCCGATTCTCCAGAACCTACCCCAGCCTATTATCTGCCACACCACGGGGTTCTGAGAGAAGAGGCCATCACCACAAAACTGAGAGTCGTTTTCAACGGCTCCAGTCCCAGCTCATCAGGTATGTCACTCAATGATATATTATATCCTGGTGGAAAATTGCAGATCAACGCCATGGACGTCTTGACATGGATGAGAAAGCACAGACTCGTGTTTGGCACCGACATCGTTAAGATGTTTAGACAGATACGAGTTCACAGGGACGATTGGGACCTCCAGAGAATTTTGTGGATTGATGATAATCAGCAACAAATCTCCTATCAGCTAACCACAGTCACCTACGGTCTCAACTGTTCTCCATGGCTATCTCTGAGAGTTCTTCAACAATTAGCGGAGGATGAGGGTCACCGCTTCCCAGCAGCCGTCGAGACAATCACCAGAGGTCGGTACGTTGACGACATCTACGGCGGAGCTGAGTCAGCAGCAGAACTCAAGGAGATAGTCTGGCAACGACAAGGACTCTGTCAGGCTGGAGGCTTCGCTCTTCAGAAATGGAGCAGCAATTGCCCACGGCTATTGCACGAGCTCGGATTATCAACAGAGGAAGCCGTAATCCAGTTTGAAGAATCAGTCACCAAAGTTCTTGGAATGTGTTGGCATCAGTCGTCCGACACATTCAGGTATAAATCCAGAGACTTCAACACACAGACGATCACCAAAAGGGTTGTATCTTCAGAGATAGCTCAGATCTTCGATCCTTTGGGCTTCATCGCTCCAGTCGTCGTAAAAGGGAAAATCCTCCTACAGGATCTCTGGAAACTCAAATGTAATTGGGATGACCCCCTCCCCACGGAGTACACTCAACGGTGGGAGTTATTTCGCCAGGAACTCACAGAATTGGACAAAGTTGCTGTACCCAGATGGCTCAATTTAACATCAAAAGAAAGTAACATTCAATTACACGGATTCGCAGATGCTTCAACCGTAGCTATGAGTGCAGTGGTGTACATACGCACCAGGAACATCAACGAGCCAGCTTCAACAGTGATGGTCTGCGCGAAGACAAAGGTAGCACCGATCAAGCGCATGACTATTCCAAGATTAGAGCTTACAGCAGCTCTCTTGTTAACACAACTAGTAGCCTCAACACAGAGGATGCTTCAGCTCGACCATGCAGAAACTCATCTTTGGTCGGATTCAGCAGTAACACTCGCTTGGATCAGAAGCCACGCATCAAGGTGGAAAGATTTCGTCCACAACAGAGTGGTCAAGATCCAGGAAACTCTCCCGAATGCCATCTGGAGACACGTCAGTGGGAAAGAAAATCCAGCCGACTGCGCATCCAGAGGCATATCTCCAAGTCAGCTAGCAGATCATCAACTTTGGTGGTCAGGACCTGAGTGGATTAATCAGGATCCTGAAGAGTGGCCACAATCAATAATTGACGCTCCAGCAATGGACATCCCAGAAGTGGCCAAGGAAGCGAAACCAGCACGAGCACATCCAGTTGCACCAAAGGTCAACGAACTTGCTGAGCTACTCACCAGGTACAGCTCGATGGCTCGGCTTCTAGCAGTAACAGCGACTATCAACAGGGCAATCGACAGATTCAGGAGACTGCCGACGCCCCCGGGACCAATCCTGTCAACAAGAGAACTCAACGAAGCGAGATTATTCTGGGTAAAAATAACACAAAATCAGTACTTTGTTTCAGCCCTTCGTGTGCTTCAGAGAAATCAACAGCTACCACGAGGTCACCAATTACCAAAGCTCACACCAACCCTAGACGGGTTGAACATCATGAGACTTGGGGGACGCCTGAAGAACTCAGACCTACACCCTGAATAGACACACCCAATAATCTTGCCACGTCAGTCGAGATTCACCACACTGGTGATCGAAGAAGCTCATCGCAGAACCCTCTACGGAGGGACTCAACTCACGCTGGCCTACACCAGACAAAGGTACTGGATAATCGGTGGCAGGGGCACAGTCAGAGCGTACATTCTGCGCTGTGCTATCTGCACCAGACACCGAGGGAAGCAGGCTCAACAACAGATGGGTCAGCTGCCTGCAACCAGAGTATCACCATCCAGAGCATTTCTCCACACAGGGGTGGATTATGCAGGTCCATTCCAGATCCTGAAGTGGAGACCAACGAATGCACAGCCAGGACAGGTGCACATTGCAGTTTTTGTGTGCTTCACAACTTCAGCAGTTCATCTAGAACTCGTCAACACGCAGACCACGGAAGCCTTCCTAGGAGCCTACAAGAGATTCACCGGAAGACGGGGCATTCCAGCTGTCATGTACAGTGACAATGCCACCACGTTCACCAGCGCAGCAGAAGTTCTAGAAAGGCTCTATCACCAAGCTTCCAGAGAAAATCAACGAATTCAGGCTGCTCTCGCCACCAATGGGACACAATGGAGCCTCTCACCACCTAGAGCCCCTCATTTCGGTGGCAAATGGGAAGCAGCCGTGAAATCAACAAAATATCACCTCAAAAGAGTCCTGGGAAAGACAACACTAACGTTTGAGGAACTCAACACCATAGTGATCCAGATAGAGGCCTGTCTAAACTCCAGGCCAATCTGTCCGATGTCGGACGACCCAGAAGATCTCCAAGTGCTCACACCAGGACATTTTTTGATAGGTGAGCCTCTCCAAGTTATCCCAGAGTCTTCATACGTCAACGAGAACCCCAGCAAAATTCGACGATGGAACCTGGTGACGCAGATAATTCACCAGTTCTGGT